AGACGGAATATTTTCTTTCGAGGAACCCGTGGCTTGACACAAAGATACTCGGTACCAAATAACTGTCCACAGAAAGAAATCAAAGAAAAATCACATCTTAAGGAAGATGGAGAAGAAAAACATCCAGAAAAAGAAACCAAAAAAACTTAAAAAAAAGGAAAATATAAGAAAAAAATTTAGAAAAACAGGAAGAAATAGATTCAGAGGAAGAAATATAGAAAAAGAAGAAATTCAGATCTATAGATCCCTTTGCATTCCTTAGAGAATACCCAGAGGAAAAATTAAGAGAGGAATGCATCCTAAAAGAATCAAAAGTACACGAATCACATCTGGAGAAAGAAATTCTAAAAGTAGAAGAACATTTGAGAAGATGGAACGAAGAAAGGAAGAAGAAAGGTCTGAAATCTGAAGTAAAGACCTAGAGAAAGGATGAAAGAATCTAAAGGAAAGTAGAACAAAAGCTAAAAGATGATACAGATGAAGAAGATCCTCCACCAGAGGAAACAGAAGATAAAGGCATCCATTGAGCGAAAAAAAGAAACACAATATTAAACCATCTTGAGGAAGGAACAGCAGACGAAAGGATCCATCGAGTAGAAGCAACACCAGACGAAGAACAGCATCCATATCCAGGGGAGAGGAAGATCACCCGAGAGCACCATTTGGCAAGTAAATCACGAATGGCTTTTGGAAAAGATATGAGAATGTTGATTATTTACACGGGCCTCGAACAGAGAGACCCGAGAACAGATCTTCTCAGAGTCGGAGTCAGAGTCCGAGCCTCCTGGTCATCCTCCTGCCTATGCTGATCCTCCCCCTGGTTCCCTCGTGGATCTTTTTTTGGCCAAAGTGTGAAGTGAAATGAAATTTGCGAACTTTGCGCTCTTTGCATTTGGATGGTGGATTCCTCTTGTTGCACTCGAGAGGGGCCTTTTCCTTGATTAATAACAATTGATAAGCGCCGCAAAAGCCACCAGACAGACAGAGAGACCATGGCCCCATAGCCCCCTACCCATGGCCGAGGCTGGGGCTGTGGCTGTGGCTGAGGCTGGGAGACTCTGGGAGATGGCGTTGATTGCCCGTGCCAGGCCTTCTCCCGGCAGTCTTCCTCCCAGTCGCCTCCGCCCGGAAACCCACGAAAGGTGGCAAAATTTTCGCGCGAAAACTAAGATTTCTCTTATCAGAAGAGACTCCCAGCTGCAGTCTGCCTCTCTCTATCTCTCTCTCTCTCTCTCTCTGTCTGTCTTTTTTGGGGCTGCTTGCTCACGTTTTTTGCTGCTTCTCTCCCCCCCGAAAAAAGAATCCCGATCTTCGATTGGCTCTGCAAAAATTTGTTTAATTATACTGGAAGCAGTCTGGCAGAAATCTTTTGGCTGACTAATGAGCCAAAGCCATCGAATGGGCTGGAGTTCAAGGACTGAAGGAGCTAGAGGTGTCCTCCAAAGAACGAATGGAATCGGAGCCAAATTCTGTGCTTAAAGTGTTTCGAAGAGATTAGGACAGATGAATCTTTTGTCGCCGAACCTGGAAGGTGTTCTGGAACTGGAATACTAGCAAAGGGTTTCTCTCATTCTCTTCGTTGGACTTCGTTGGACTTCGTTGGACATCGTTGTCATGTGTCATGTGTAAAGTCATGTGTTCTTGGTTAGATATGCATATCTTTCTTTTCTTTCTCTCAATTTCAATCACCACTCACTAGTTTCCTCTATAACAGATCTACTTTCCAAACTACAATCCAAAAATCATCAGGGAAAGGAGCAAATCAAAGCCTAAAGACTCTGCAAACAGGACTCGATTATCTTTCACTTTTTGCCGTAAACAGAATTCTACAACTTGCTCCAATTTCCACCTCCAATTTCTCTCATACTCATAATTCTCCCGCACTGACGCAGTACCTTCTGCTAACAGCCTGGCCAGACTCCCTGGCGACGACGCCTCGTCTCGGTCTTAGACCCATCCTAGACACCCAAACGAGTGATGTGTTCCGTTCCCCAAGGTTCCCCCAAGAGGAGATCGCTGAAGAGATCTCCCATCGAGGTCGAAATGAGCTTCGCCTTTGGGTTCGGGTTCGGGTTCGGTCTCTGGGTTTCTGTCTCTGGGGTTTTCTGACCCCAAACGATTAGCAGCGACGGCGGTCCGGTGGTTGAGAGCCCAGCGACAAATGAAACAAAAGGGTCGGATCCTTGCACCATGCTCTGTGCCCCCTGCACCATGCAGCCCCCGTCTCTTGCCCCGTGTTGAAGCAGTTTCTGGCCAAGATCGGGGCACACCAAATTGTTCGATTGTTTATGGCTGGCAACAACGCCCACCGCAGCCGCCGAGTGCCAGAGTGGACCAAAAGTGAGAAACCGGCAACAATCATCTGCCGGCTGATAAAGTGCCAGAGATCCCCTACACTGCCCCCCTGCCGCCCTGCCGCCCTCTTCCCACTCTCCTCTGTGTGTTTGTGTCGCTTATCGGCGAGGATCGATCGCAGTTGCAGCCACAAAGAGGGGGGGCACAGAAGAGAGAGGGGAGAGGAGCACTTCGGAGTCGCAGAGCTGTGTGGAGAAGCGGCGGCGAAGCTGATTTAACAAATTGATAAACAATTGTTGGCGTTGGCCACACTGTAAGTCCCTGTCTCTGTCTCTCTCTCTCTCTCTCGCTCTCTCTCTGTGTGTGTGAGGGGCAAGAGGCAGTGTGGCAGGAGGTGTGGGGCGGCGTAACGTTACGAAATGGCTAAACAAACGATCGCCCTGCCGATCAGAGAGACCCGTGAGCCGCGAGACCTCAGTTTCACAGTTCTCTGAAAATGTTCCAAGATTCGAAATCGAATTCTCGTCGTAGCCTTGGCATTCCTCCACGCACTCTCGATGGGGGAGAAAGGGAGGGAAGGAACTATAGAAAATATACAAATTAAAGGAGAGCTCCTTCCGATATGGAATTTGAATGGGAATTTCTTTGGGGACTACAGAAGAAGCAACAGATTTGATTAGGAAGAGAGATGAATATAATATTGAGGAAGAAAACAATTTCCGAAGTGTGTATAGTACTCAATCGATTCCAAATGTAATCCAAAATATCATCTAATAGTGTTAAAGGAAAGTGTCCCACACTCTCATTCTGCTCGTTAGACTTTCCCAGAAGCTCTTAAACGAATTAAACACAAATTTTGATGGAAAAATACTCGTAATACCCTTGAAATACTCCTTAAACTCCCGTTTGGGGAGTACAAAATCAATAACTGAAAGGTTTTCTGAAAGGGAAAATCTTATATTCATTCGATTCGATACCATTTTCCCTTTCAATCCTCAAAAGTTGTTGTGTTTCATTTCGGGGGAGATTTCAGTGCCCAGAACTTGGAGAATTCAACAACAATGCAATGCAATGCAATGATGATGAGGTAGAGAGAGGAAGGTGAATGGGGGGAGGGGCACCTGGGTGATGGCACTCTCGAGAGACAATCGCTGGAGCAAATCTGCTGCACTGCTGCAACTGCAGGCCAGCGCTCGGGCCTAATCCTCAGCGGCAGCCGAGCCGCGGAGCAGCAGAGAAGCAGAGGCGGCAGCTGTCGCTAGGGGCAGAGCTTCAGTTGGGAGTTGGAACCGAGGGAGCAGGGGCAGGAGTCAAAGGCAAAAGCCAGGGCCCAAACCAAGCCAAACCAAACCAAACCATTGTTAGCGTCTTCTCCCGTTTTGCGCTCTATCGGCGCTCGGCCATCTCTTCTCTTCAGTGGGGCTTTTGGAGGCATCGGAGGCATAGCTGCTGCTGCTGCTGCTGCTGCTGCTGCGGCCAAAACACTTTACGTGTGCGGCTTATCGCCCCCCAATCGAAGGCAATAAATATCTTACAAATAAGCAGAATGCCTCGGAATGCCTTGCAGTCGAGGCGAGCGAAGGTACGAGGGTCTCCCTCCTGCCTCCGATGATTCTTCTAACCGATTGCTCACGTGCAGAATTGTGTGAATTCGTGAAGAATCGACGGCGGCAATTAGGGCGGGCCGTCAATACAACATTTCGGCAACGATTTGCGGCAGTTGCAAGTGCGTCCGTGTCCGTGTCCGCGTCAGCGTCAGCGGCAGTGCCGCACCAGGGGCCATACAAAAGACTCTGGCGACGAACTTGCAGCTTTTGCAGCTGCCTCTCTTCTGTGGCCTGCTCTCTCTCTCTCTCTGTCTCTATCTTTTTGGCTGAGAGATGGGCTGACATTTCAATAGCCAGCAATTGACAGGTCAACGCGCAGCTTCTTCTGCTGGCGGAGCGGATTCTGGCGGGGATTCAGGAGAGGCTCTGCCTCGTGGGGCCCGCACGAGGAGAACCTCAACCAGAACCAGTCGAAAAGATGTCGAATTTCTGGCGAAGCGATGCAAACTCGTCCTTATCCAGAGCCTTCATCAATAGCCAGCCATTCCATGTGTGTGCCACATCCATGTCGATGTCCCTGTCCCTGTCCCCGTCCATGTTGCAGCTCTGTTGCATTCTGTTGCAGTTGCACAGTTCCACAGAGATGCCACAATCTTGGCCAGCATCGACCAATGGGTCGTTATAATATTTCTGTCGCTGCCGCTGCCGCTGCCACTGCGGCAGAAACAAATCAGATGTCAGTGGATGTTCGGCGGATCCTGAGGCCCTAATCATCAGCGGCAAAGGCCACCATGTGGCAGCCAGGCAGCCAGGCAGGCAGGCAGCAGCCGCTTTTCCGCCACAGCATTTTCCACGTATAAGAAGAGATGGCCAGCGAGGATAAACGTGGACCAGGCCGCAGATCCACTCCACTCCACGCCACAGACGCTTGTCTTCTGTCGTTCTCCAGCGATGGGGTCAGGCAGGGGATCTCCTCTTCTGTGGATCCTCTTGTCGCATTGTTTTCACAGCTCTCGGACTACACTCCACTCCACTCCACTCGAGACACTGACAATTTGTTCGATAATAATTGCCTAAGCTACTCCTCCGTAGATCTCCCACAGCGGAGGCTTCTTGGAAGCCACTCTAATGATCTCTTTCCCTCCCTTTCTCTTGCAGATTCCAAAGATTTAACCGCTCAGGAGCTGGGCGAAGAGAAACAGCAACAGCTACAGCAGCAGCAGCAGCAGGAGGATCCAATGGATCTTCAGGACAACAACAACAACAGCGATGCAGATGCAGATGCAGAGGATGCTGTGTCCGAACAGCCAGAAGAGACTCAGGATTTAGGGGAAACAGAAATGGACCACCACCACCAGGCGGAGGAGCAGGAGCAGGTGGAAGCAGACGCAGAGGCGGAGGAGGCACCGATCAGTCCTAGTACGCCGCCGCGGAGCCCTACGCCGCCTCCAGTTCTGGTGCCAAAGCTGGAGCAGCCAGCGACTCCGCCATCGGAATCGCCATCGCCCAGTCCTTCGCCCACGCCCACGCCCACCGCAACGCCCACTCCGAGGCTGCCAAAGCTCCGGCTCAATGCGCTGCTCGCCTCGGATCCCGCCCTCAAGCCGGACGCCAAGGAGCTGCACCTGTCGGACAAGCGTCTGCTGGCACCGCCGCCGCACATCAAGCCCGAGCCGCAGCCCCCGCAGGCACAGCCCCCCCTACAGCCCGATCTCGTGGAGCCGCTGCTGAAGCCGGCGCGATTCATGTGCCTGCCATGCGGCATAGCCTTTAGCTCCCCCTCGACCCTGGAGGCGCATCAGGCGTACTATTGCTCGCATCGGAACAAGGACTCGGAGGATGCGGATGGATCCAATGCGGACAAGTCCGGCGGCGGGGAGAAGTCCGCCGCGGGCGGAGTCTCTGGCGGCGGCGGGGGCAGTGGGAGCAGTGGCTCCGAGCCGCCGGCTAAGGTGGCGCGCATCGGGAAGCAGTACGCGTGCACCCAGTGCTCCTACAGTGCCGACAAGAAGGTGTCCCTCAACAGGCACATGCGCATGCACCAGACCTCGCCGGCCCCCAGTCTGGGCAGCCTCGGATCCCTCGGCAGCCTGCCCAGCCTCACGGCGAACGGGGTGCCAGGATCTGCAGGAGTAGTTGGCGGAGGCGGAGGCGGAGGCAGCAGCAGCGCCCTCGAGGAGGGCTCTAGTCAAGTGAGTTGTGTGTTGCAGCCCCAAGAGTCGTCATCCGCTAATCCCCCTCTCCAGCAGCAAACCGACCGCTACTGCAGCGACTGTGATATCCGATTCAACAACATCAAGACCTACCGCGCCCACAAGCAGCACTACTGCAGCTCCCGTCGCTCCGACGGCCGTGTGACCCCCAAGGGTGGCTCCGAAGGAGCAGCAGCCGCCGCCGCCGCCCGAGAAGCAGGAGGATCGGTTTCAGCAGGCAGCGCTTCTGCGGCAGCCGCTGCTCCTGGAAAGCTCAGTCCGCAGACGCGCAACAAGACGCCCACCCCGGCCATGGTGGCGGCAGCGGCGGCGGCTGCAGCAGCAGCAGCAGCTGCTGCCTCGTTGCAGGCCCCCACCCCACAGCCCTTTTTGGCGCTACCCACGCACCCGATCATCATAGTGCCCTGCAGCCTGATCCGAGCGGCAAGCATCATTCCAGGACCACTGTAAGATACACTCCGATCAGAGGCAATATAAACAGCAAGACGAGTAACGCCCATACAATTCAATGGTTATCAAATATGATCGCAAGGTCGATCCCCTTCAACCCAACTTGAGGCTCGAGAAATGTTCAAACAGCTGAGAGTGGCTTTCGAGCGCTCTCTTGTGGCTGTTGAACAACAATTTAAGAGCCACATTTAGAATGTACATGTCTTACTTGTTATATTGTCCTTGCTCAGAAGATCCTTTTGGTAGCGATTCTCACTCTGTTGGTCTCTCTTTTAGGCCCACACCCGCTTCGGGGATCGTCAATCTGGAGTCCACCTGCTTCACCGTGGACAATGGGGCCATCAAGCCGCTGGCCACCGCTCTGATCAGCAATGCGCTCGCCGGGAATATGAATCACTTTGTCAATTCCCTGCACATACCCGCCCTGGAGCCGGATCGTCCCACAGCAGGCACTGGCTCAGCCGATGGAGGAGGAGGAGGAGTCCTGGAGCCAAAAAGTAGCAGTCCACCAGAACCCAAGAGGAAGGAGGCTGGAGGCAGTCGGTGAGTAGATGAGCGAGGGTCCCCCTTCACAATCCTCCTGCTAACCGAAGATCTTTCTCTCTATCTTTCAGTGAATCTGCGCCTCTCGACCTTTCGTTTCGACGATCTCCCATCTCCATCTTGCAGCATCGACAGCGGCATATCCGATCCGCTGCCGCAGCCGCAGCCGCTGCCCTGCTGGATGTGGAGGAAGTGCTCCTCGGAGCGGGCAAGGAAAACGTGGAAACTGTCGGCGGAAGAGCTGGAGGCAGTGTGACGCCCGAGCAGATCGTCTGCGCACCCTCTCTGCCCAGCAGCCCCTCGATGAGTCCCTCGCCCAAGCGACGGGCGAGTCCCAGGAGTTCGGGGGCGGGCAGTGCCTCTTCCATGTCGCCGCCTGGCTTGAATCACCATCTGCTGGACATCCGCTCCATGCTGCCAGCCGACTTTGGCCTGTCGGAGTCGCTCCTGGCGAAGACCAATCCAGAGCTGGCCCTCAAGCTGGCGGCTGCCGCTGCGGCCGCTGTTGCGGCTGGAGGCAGTGCCTCCTCTTCCCTGGCGGCTGCTCAGGTTGCCTCCAATACAGGTGGCAATTCCGGCAGTCAGCAGCAACAGCAGCAGCCGCAGATCTACGTGAAGCAGGGCGTCTCCAAGTGCAAGGAGTGCAACATCGTGTTCTGCAAATACGAGAACTATCTGGCCCACAAGCAGCACTACTGCTCGGCACGCAACCAGGAGCCAGCCGGCGAGGGCTCCGACTCCAAGTCCGCCGTTTCGCCATCGAATGCCACGGCCGGCAATGGTGGTGGTGGCGCCTCTGCCGTGGAGACCACGCCCGTGGCCTACCAGCAGCTCATCTGTGCCGCCTGCGGCATCAAGTACACCTCGCTGGACAACCTGCGCGCCCACCAGAACTACTACTGCCCCAAGGGAGGAGCCACGGCCGCCACTGCGTCCTCCGAGGCGCCGCTGGTGGCCAAGGAGAAGTGCGGCAAGTGCAAGACCCTGCACGACCACGGACACCCGTGCCCGGCGCCCCCCGCTGCCACGCCCCTGACGGCGCCCTCCAGCCTCCAGTCTTCGGCGGGAGCCCCCTCCGGGGTGAACAGCGTCAACAAGTGCCCCGTGTGTGGGGTCGTCAGTCCGACGGCGGCCCTGGCCCGCAAGCACATGGAGATGCATGGGACGGTGAAGGCCTTCCGCTGCAGCATCTGCCAGTACAAGGGGAACACTCTGCGCGGCATGCGCACCCACATCCGCACTCACTTTGACAAGAAGACGAGCGACGTCAACGAGGAGCACTACATGACCTGCATCTTCGAGGAGGATAACTCCGCCCACTCCGCTGTGGCCCAGGAGATGCCACCCACAGTAGCAGCAGCAGCAGCAGCAGCAGTACCGCAGGAGCCACCGATGGAGCATCCGCCGCAGTTGTTCAACTGCGATTACTGCAACTATGCCTCCACCTACAAGGGCAATGTGGTGGGTACCCCTTGGAGACTCCTCATTGACGAAGGGATCCACTAATCCAAAGGAATTTTTCTTCCAGCTGCGACACATGAAATTGCTGCATCCGCATGTTGCCATCAATTCGCCCTCGATTTCCCCCGAGTCGCGTGAACAGGAGACGCTCCTTTCAAGCTCCACTCCGAATGCGCACGAAGCGTCCAATGGCGAGGCAGTCATGTAAGTCTTTGGAGGATTAAATGATTTTCTCGGATGGTGGCTTATATTCCTCTCTCCTCCTTTACAGCTTCCACATCAAATCAGAGCCTGGACTGGACAATCCACCGACGCTGGGACTCGTTCACGAGAACAACAACTCGCCCATTGGCACACCACTGCCGCATATCAAGGCCGAGCCGATGGACATAGGCATCGATGCCATGTCACCCACATCGCTGGCCCTGCCACCGCCCGTCGCGTCGCCTTTGGCAGCCGCTGCAGCCGAGGCCATGAAGAAGTACTGCTCCGTGTGCGACATATCCTTCAACTACGTGAAGACCTTCCTGGCCCACAAGCAGTTCTACTGCAAGAGCAAGCCCCCACGGCCCGAAGTCAACGACAGCCCCAGCCCCAATGCCAATCATGTGGCCGGAGTGGGTGTGGGAGTGGGGGTGGGCATGGGAATGGGGGGCCAGCCGCTGCAGTCGCCCAGCGAATTGATGCTGATGCAGAAGAACAAGGAGAACCTGCAGGAGGCGGCCATTTGAGAGAGCCAGCAGAGGCAGATGTGGGAGGCGCAGCGCAAACAGCTGGAATGGTATTACAAGTGCTTCTGAGCAGAAATTCAAATGCATTATTCAAATTGATAACCGAATCGAATCGAATCCGTAACTGTATAATCAATCCATAATCGTAATCCGTAAATCCGTAACTTGTAAACCGTATCCGCATTGACGACAGTATTCCTGGAGAATCTCCCTGTCGCTGCCCCCCTCCACTTCCAATGCCACGTCAGGACTGACTCCTACGATTTACCGATCGATAGAAATAGTTATACATAATACATACCTACATAAATATAACACACATATGCATATAGTATATATATATATATGAATATATAGACATAGATACATATATATACATACGCATACCCATGCCCATACCCATTAAGTGGGGAATCATGACATATAATGCATGCCAAAGCTTACCACTTAGAGAGAAACTATATAAAATTGAGTGCAAGAAACTACAAGTTTTCGCCAGACAGAGATCAGAGGAGACAACCTATAGCGACGATAGTGCGAAGAAGAAGAAAATGAAGAATAATCCTATATAGATCCAATATTATATTGTATGTAAATGCTCCGCATTCCCCCGTAGAATCGAGCAATTCAAACTGTGTAATTTAAATGAATACATTATTTATTAAGTGTGTGCGACAATAAAACTAATTAATTTATTCAAAAAGAAGGTGTGATACGCGATCAGTTTTGAAATTGTATTGTATTTTTATATATTTTTATTTTTGTGTGTTTCCAACACTGCACGCTTTTTCAAATAACCGTTTGGATCGCATTTCTACGTGCTCTTTACATGCAATCTACGTGACTCGTGTAACTTGAATACGACAGAATTGACCAACTACTTGTTCCTTACTTGGATTCTACTTCCGGCAGACTCTATTTATTTTAAAGGCAAGTTTTGGGCTGAATCGCTTTTTTATCAATGGTTTCGCAAAATATCCTTGATGAGGGCTCCAAGGATATATTCCCGATCCAAGGAAGACATAGAAGGGCCAGATCGGACTAGAAACTGCAACAATATCCAGACCCTACAACAAGCACCTTCAATTTGGAGACGCAAAAATAGAAGAAAACAAGACATTCAGATCGGGGATCAAAAGATATCAGCAGAAACCAACTTTGGCGTTTTCGCCCATTTTGCGGGCTGGTTTGACTTGCATTTTTTCTTTCGCTATGCATATCTCGACTATTTATGGGACCGATCTGGGCGTGGCATGTGTTTTCCTAATCGGGATCGATCGCGTTTTTGTTTTTGAAATTGTACTGCAAATTGACAGTGTGGAAGGCTGGGCAAAGCCTTTAATCTCTGAATTTTTCAGAATTATTATCGTATCGTATTTTTTACCGTATCGTAGCAAGATTTGGATGCCCACCTGCAGTTTGGATTGTAGGTTGACCGATCAATGTCGATCGAATTCGACTGCCGGATCAAAGTCACCAAAAAGCCGCTTTATCCATTTTATTACTCGATCTAAAAGCCAAAGTGGAGTGGAGCCTACCTAAAGCTACATACAGGCATATATGCATATCATATATCGCTGACACGTAGAAACTAAGGTATGCGTCATCAGATATGTACGTGTTTCCTATAAATGCATTCAAGCGTATATAGAAGAAAAAAAAAACATTGGCAATGTACTTGTGTGTACGCACTGAAGCAATTTTAATCAAATTATAATTTCAGTGCAAATCCGATATTACAGCTTGATCCACATACATACATAAGTAATTGTTTATTTAGATAGACTTAGTAGAAGTAAAAAGATATTAGAGCATTCTCGAAAATGCTGCCATTCTAGATGTTTGTGTGTGTGTGTGTTGGTTTGTTTTTGTTGGTGATCGGTTTATGTCTACGTGTGGGTTGAAAAGCGGATTACTCGGTAGCGGCCATAGCACGGGCCTGTGCACGCACGCGTTTCTCGTACTCCAGGCGATTCTGGCAGTAAATAGTGTAGGCCTCAGCCTGGGCCGGATCCTTGATGTTCGGCTCATTCAGCAGATCTTGGATGCCCAAAAGAATTTGCTTGATAGTAATGGCCGGGCGCCAATCCTTCTCCTCGTCAAGCAGTGACAAGCAGACAGTCCCCGACGGATACACATTTGGGTGGAAGAGCGGCGGCTCGAATTTGCATTTCGGCGGAGAGGTCGGATAGTCATCCTTGAAAATCATACGAAGTTTGTAGAGGCCACCCTCCCAGGGGGTGGACTTTTTTCCAGGAATGGCGCACTCCCAAATCATCAGGTTGAGGGTGCCATCGGGATTTTTGGCGGGGCGAGCAACAAACCCGTATGGATGGTCCTTACGCCAGGCCTTGCGCTCCTCGCCCAATCGTGTTATAGCAATGCCAGACATCTTGCAATTGTTGTTGGCAAATGAACCGTCTTCTTCTCCTCTTCTTTATCACTATGCTGTACACGCTGCTAACGCGTCTGTCAAAAAAATCCAACGATAAAGCGCTTAAAATGTTTGCCCACGCGGCCATTAACTCATTTCTTTTTATGCTTACCTAGTCGCCTCTTTGTTCGTCAATCGACGATTGTAAATTTCCCAAATTTGTGCCTTTTTTCCGGCAAACTATTTTTCCGTGCAAATTCTAGCGCAATTTTCTTGGCTTGCTGGTAGTGTGAACGTGGATTTACCATAATATTCCAAAATATACCGTCTCATTTGAAAAATATACTGTAAATATACTGACAAATTCAAAATCTTTTTTACATATTCCTCGTTTCTTATATTCCGTGGAATATTACTACCTATTTAGAACATTTAGCCATGCCCACATAATTTTATCCAATTAATGAACCTATTTTCTACTTGACTGGCCTATTCTTAGTACTTGCTTTTATTTGATTTCTATATACCGTTGAAATTAATAAATTGATGAAATTGACAAAGTGTACCATAATATACCGATCTACCGTAATACCGTCGGATCAATTTTGACCTCAAAAAATACCGAAAACGGTCACCCTGGTGCAAATTCTGGCGCAATTTTCTTGGCTTTCTAGCAGTGTGAACGTGGATTTATTATACGGTCTGAATTTCAGAAATATACCAAAATGTACCGTCTTTCAATCCCCTTCAATCAACGCCGTCGGTACCTTCTCCACGGGCGGCTCTGCCGTAGCTCCTCGTCCTTTCGGGAGGTCCAAGAGATGACGCTGGACTGTGATCGCCATGATGCCGCTGCTGTGTCGCTGAGTAGACAATGTGGCGTCCGTCCACTGCAGCAGGGACCACGCCCACGGGACATAGCGGTGGGCTTTAGCTTTCAGAAGAGTAAGTGAATTCGTATATAATAGTGGATATACTTTAAAATATATCTTCCTTTACAGAAGACTTATGTACCCTACGCTTTGCCACAAAACGAGTCGTATCCGATTTCCCTCGCTAGACGAAGCTCTATCCAGGCATTACCGAGGCGTTTTCGAGACAGAAGGAGTCCTATCCCAGCCAGACAGAATCGTATCCCAGCAGCGCACCCATTGCAAGATCCGAATATAAGAAGCAATCGTCATCCCACGACCCGGCCATCGCCAACAAGGACTTTGACTATGACAGCCAAGGGAAGAGCTACACACTCTAGATATACATACCTTGTCGTTGTTATGTTTAAGGATATACGCGTCCATTCATTTAGATAGTAGATACACAGGTTTTCCACTTGTTTATTTATTTATACTAAGCTAAATTATGATTAATAAAACTATTGAAAAATCATCCTTGCTGCATCCACTATCGTGGGAAAGTTCACAAATAGCGGAGAAAACTGAATACTTTTGATTGGGGAAAATGTCCTTGATCCTTGATAAGGACTCCATCCAATCGGGGGCAAGATATATGTGCCTTGATAAAATATCCTTGATTATTGGTCCTTCAAAAGGACTCCATCAGATCAAGGATGTTATCCCGAACACAGGAAGCTGTCGCACGTCCCGATCGGGCCAAAAATGGCCGAGAAAACTAAATATGTATGGTTGTCGTTATTGGAGTCCTTACCGAAGGATCAAGGATCACGGGGGCCATGGCACGCCCCAACCGGGCCAGAAATAATAAAGAAACTAAGATATATATGTCTGGAGAAAATGTCCTTGATCCTTGGTCCTTGATAAGGACTTCATAAAATCAGGGACATTTTTCCGAGCACAGGAAGCCATAGCATGTCCCGATCGGCCCATAAATAACGGAGATAGTGGCGGCACCGTACAAAAAGCAAAACTCGCGTCAAATGGAAAAAATCGGATGGGATACCAGGCAAACAGAAATCAGCAGAAGGTCGACGATTTTTTTAAAAATTGTGAGCCCCCTAAAGTATGCTGCGATTTTTTTTGCAATTCCTATAGTTGCTTGCTGCTGATTTCTGTTCGCCTGGTGTCCCATCCAGTTTTTGGCCATTCGACGCGAGTCTTTTTTCTTTTGTACGGTGGCGACGCTATCGGTGATTTCTTGAACTACATTTTCAAATATAACAAATTACAAACCCGTTATGTTTTCTCCGTTATTTGAGGCCCGACCGGGACATGCGACAGCTTCCTGTGATCGGAAAAATGTCCCTGATTTCATGGAGCCATTATCAAGGATCAAGGATATCTTCTCTAGACATATATATCTTTCTTTCTCCGTTTTTGTTTCCCGATCGGGGCTGCCATGGCCCTCTGTGATCAGAAAAATGTCCTTGATCCTTCGGTAAGGACTCCAATAACCCCAACCATACGTATTTAGTTTTCTCGGCTATTTGTGGCCTGATCGGGACGTGCGACGGCTTCCTGTGATCGAAAAAATGTCCCTGATTTGATGAAGTCCTTATCAAGGATCAAGGACATTTTCCCCAATCAAAAGTATCCAGTTTCTCCGCTATTTGTGAACTTTCCCACGATAAAGGATGCAGCAAGGATGATTTTTCAATAGTTTTATTCATCATAACTTAGCTAAGTATAAATTAATAAACAAGAGCAACAAAGTTCTAAGCCTAACAACATCGAGATATATCTAGTCTAGTAGCCCGCGTAGCAGCTCCCTTGGTTGTCGTCAAAGTGGTGTCGGGGACCCTGGCATCGATAGTTTGTCAGTCTTGTAAAGGACCTAAATTACCACGCCGGTAAATACATTTTGGGCGCCAATTTTGAAAATAAAAAAATGATCAGGGATTCATTTAGTTTCGTTTCATCTAATTTGTAGCGAAAATTGTGAAACGTAATCATTGGGTCACAAAAATTTGAATATATTTCAAGTGTTCATTCTTATTTCTTCGTGTTCCTTTACAAAAGGTACATAAATAAATAGATTCTAGATTAACATTTGATTCTGGTAAAAAAGTTGAAAAAGTAAGTTAATTCTCTATATTCATAAACTTAATCGAACTTAATAAGGTGGTTGTGCCTTGCCAAGGAACATTACTAAATCAATGTAGCAAAATCGTCTTTTATAGAAATGTCGCAGGAAGTACGGATCGGATAGAGAAGTGGATGCTATAACAAAATATTACATGGCTTGCCAATTGAAGAAGACATGTTTTGATGGAACGGTATGGTTTTCATGCAGCACTCGGTGGCTTTACTTTGCCTTTTTAGATTCCTTCTTTTTGCTGCTGCCGCTACTGCTGCCCTCCTCCTTCTCTTTCTTCTCCTTCTTTTCGGGCTTTTCCTCGGGATGATCTTCATAGCTGTTGAAGTGATATTATATTAACAAGATCAACAAACAGGTTCATACTTGATTTTAACTTACGCAAAGAGTACTTTCAGCTCGCCTCGGATAAGAGCCACCAGAAGGGGTGTACCCATGCAGGCCGGGACCAGATAGAGCAGCGCCGGTTGGGCGTGCTTGAAGACATGCATCACAAAGATCGTGGCCATGAGACCCAGGAAATAAGCCGCCAATGTGGAGTAGAAATAAATGCGCGTCTTCCTCTTCTTGCTGTCGTCGAATCGCAGGAGCAGGGCAATGAAGATGCCCGGAATGACAATGTCGCCAAGACCCAGCATGGCGAAGTTGGAAGCATTTAGGCCATTGTCGATGAGATCCTGGGGGAAGACTAGCTTGATGGGGGCCTCAAAGCTTTTCGCCACGGTCACCATGACATTGGTGCCAAACACCCAGAAGATGTCATAGAAGAAGAGACCGCTTAGCAGGATGACGCCAGTCACAAAGTTGTTCAAATGGAGCATCTCCACTCCGTTGATGGCGAAGGCCAGGCCGAACAGGTTGTTGGCTATCCAATGCTTCTTCAGGAGATACCACACGCCTATGACCGACGAGATCACCAGGCACACAATGTCGTGTGTGGAAAACTTATAGTTAATGAGATCCTCCTTGTGCTTACCCTCACCGCTGGTGAAGAGTATATGGAAGGGAACTTTTGGCACGGCGGCGGGCATCAACGAGTTCATCACAGGGCTGAGAAGGTGCGCCAACGCAATCACGCCCAGCACGAAAAAGTAGCCGGTGAGCAAGAAGTTGATGTGCCCCTTCTGGAATATCTTGAAGAACAGATACAGGCCGAAGAGGGCGCCCGAGGCAAACAGTGGAAAGTACATGGCGTCTTTCTTTGTCATTGTGTCGGCTTTCTCCCCCGTAGACTGCGGCGAAGCGATGGAAACCAAACCAATGAGTGGGAGAGCAAAGTAAAATCATTGCAACAAATGACCTACCTTTTTCAGCTTGTGCAGTTTCACCGAACGTATCGAGCCGAAAATAATGGGCAACATGGCCATAATCACCAAGCTGCCGTATGCCACGGCGATGCCCTCCGGGCTGGACGGTGGTTTTTTCTCATTGGACGCGGTTTCGTTTTTCACGTTCACGTTCACATTCTCAAATATTCCTTTGATAGTCTCTTTCACAGAGTCAATTACTTCGTCCGCCATGGCTTCTTGTATTTATTAGAAAATCGTTCGTCGAAACTGACACGCAGCCAGGTACACGTCAATATTAGGGATGGTAGATATGTTTATCAATATATCGATATATATTTTTTGTGATAATATATTTGTAGGAGATCTGATTTAGATTGGCAAAAGTATTAACATGGATATTTTTCTGGGATATATCATCAACAAACCTTAGTTTTTGAATTTTTACCAAATTGGCTTTATTTTTCTGTTGTTTCACGTCATTAGATCAGATATACGGACTTTTGATTACACTCATCGATGCTCAGGGCTAATTGCAAAACAATATCGATATTTTTGTGCGATAAATAAAAAATAAAGCGACTTTAGCGGCTTTTTTTGAAAAAAACCATATTGTAGCCCACATCATATCCGATTTCTTGATTGTTGTTTTGATTTGTTGTTTATGTTTACATGCGAAGGCATATAGACTGGTGGCCATCGTTACGTTTTTGCAATTGTACGGTGTGCAGAGAAAGAGCCATATAAAAAGACTTGACTTGTTTCATAGTGCGGCAATGTGGCTTTCAAATATACATTGCTTGGCTAGCCCCATATTTATATCTGCATCAAATATGAATCAAATTGAATCTGCTCTTGGTCAAACACAAATTCAATCAGTCAGATATGGTCAATGCCCACATATTTCCGAGCCGCCGTTATCGCTTATCCGCTCTCCGCTGCCTAGAGCCTCGGTTGTATTTCGGCGCA